GGCATATTAAGCAGCTGTCAGCTGCAGCAGAAAAAAAACTAAAGGAAAAACGAAACAAAATTGAAATTGCAAGAGACCAAGACTAAAATACCAAAAGACTTTGTGTAGATGTTTACATTTAGCCGTCGCCTGCCATGTCACAGAAATCGCAACTTAATTAAATAAAAATTAAACAGATCTCTTGCTGGCTGGACTTGCAGATGTATGTGTGTGTGTGTGTGTTGGTGTGTGTGTGTGTATCTCGGTCCGTTCTCTGTAGCCGTCGCCACGTTGCGTGTCAAGTGAACATCATGCGTAGCGCAGTTTTCACTGGCGACTCGGCTCGGCTCGCAGCAGAAGCGAAGACTTCCTCGTTAGCCTTACCCCTTTCCCACCCGCTCTCCCTCCCTCTTCGCCTCATCGTCCACATGTTACACCAATTTTGAGTCTGGAAATCCTTGTCTAGTCTTAATATGATTTAGTGGCCGCTTGCATGGCTTGACAAGTGTCCATTTGAATACTCATTGGCTCAACAAGCGACGGCAGACTGTATGCCCCCCTGCCCCTGTTCGGTGCCCGTTCCTCCCTCTGCTGTGCTGCGCGCTGCCCTCCCTGGCCGCTTCAACATTGATTTGTGTGTAATTTAATGAAATTTACATAATATTTTGTTTTTAATGAGGCCTAAGGTGATGTTTAAATGCTTTGACTCGGCTCACTCAGTAGTCGCCAGCCAAGTAGCGAGTTGCAGTTGCAGTTGCACGTTGCAAGTCGCAAGCTTGGTAGCCGGTTCTCAGAGCTGCTGAGCTGCTGAGCTGCTGAGCTGCGGCTGCAGCTTATGTTACACACGGCAGCCTAGGCGCCAGCTATGCCGCTGCTAAGCCGCTTTTAATTTGCCATACTTTTACCACATTTTCAGCAGCAGGCGAAACACAAACAGCCAACAGCAAACAGCAAAAAATGCATTTAATTGTCTGACAAATTGGCCGCAACTTAATTAAGGGCGATAAGCGGGAAGTTCTTCTGCCTAATTAAGTCGCATTTGGCAGCAGTTGCTATCAGTAGCTGGCACATATTTCATGCCGAGGCACTGAACCTAACCGAGCCGAGCCGAGCCGAGCCCACTTGAGAGCGTGTCCCAGCAGCACTCCAATTGCAGGCGGGCCAATCAAAACGGCTCAAAACACCTTTGCAAAATGCACGCGCACTGATAACACGAGCAACGCCTTGGGCAACCGGGCAACCGGGCAACTGGGCAAACAGAGTTGGAATCAGAGTCAGAATCAGAGTCAGAGTTAGTCGCGGAGCTGCGGCTCTCAAAACGCCGTCCTTTGGCCGTTAATAAGCGTAGATTATTTATGTTTATTAACCCTTAACATGTTTACATTTGTAAAACGAGACTCTTAATGTGAACTTTATCGTGAGACGTTTGCAATTGCAATTGCAGGGAGAGGCGAGGCTCTCAAGATCCCAAAGGCTCGACCCTACCGACTGGCCAATGTCCTGCAGCATTTGCAAAATATATTTTATGTATGAGTGAAGTTAGTCATTTATGTGAAATAAAGTTAAATGGAATTGATATAAATCTTTGGGCACAAATTATATTTATTTATACTGATTAGGGATCATCCTATGGATCGTCGAGAGTCCAACTAATAAATAGAAGTAGGCTTAAATAAATTAAATGATTGGTTAAGGCTTGAGCATTATTGTTTTCAATTATTTATACAATTTTAGATTTCAGTCCTTATTGTCTTTTCTACTATGTAGTTTATGATTTTATGATTATGATTGAAATACTTTGGAGAACATTTTGTGAGATTGTTATTTATATAATTGACATATACAAAATAAAATGTTTGTCTGAATCAGAAAAGCATCGTTCTTTCTGCTTCAATTATCTGTTGATTTATATATTCCTGTATTACATAACATATTATATTATATTCCGTAGAATCAACTTCATTTGGGATACTCTGGGTATAGTTCGGAATATTCCTCCCTTTCAGCTCACCTCAATCATAGCTGAGAGTCTTAAAGTCCCGCTTCCCTCTTCCCTCTTCTATGTAGGGTATTCCATTAGGCAGCGCAACTTGTGAATTTGTGTTCGCTTTCAGCAATCGGCAATCGGTGTGTTGTTGTTGTTGTTGTGGCCTTTTAGCACGTCACCCCAAACGGCGGCCGATGAAGTCCGCCAGGTCCACCCCAAACGGGCCAAGAGGAGCAGGCCGAGATGGCCATCGACGGCGCTCCTCCTCAGAGTGCGATTTTAATGACGGGCGCCTCGATCGGCTCGCAAAGGAAGCGGGATGGGCCGCGCTGCAGATTCTTAATGCATTTTTTGTACATGATCATACGCGTTTATCTTTTGTGTTTGGACGGCGGCCCAGTTATCGGGCCTGTTTGCTGTGGCACTCATTTAATAAGTTTGTTCGGGCTAAGAGATTACATGAACCTGCACTGTTCAATTGCAATCATATTTTAGGCCCCAAGAGCAACCTGCAGCACACACACACACACACGCACGCATGCATGTATATGTATATGTGAACTCTGTCTAAAGGAGAATTTCATTTCCAGTTTGAGCCTCGTTGCTGCTGCTGCTGCTGACTCTGATATCTGTCGTTGTCGCACTTGGCCCTTGGCTTGAGTTGGGTCGGGCCCCAGGGCTCTTCTTCCTCATCTTCGGTTTGCCTTTTCGGGTTATATCGTGTGACATATCGAGTGTGAAGTGTCAATTTGAATTTATTGATAACGCCATTGAGAAACGGTGCCACAGAGTGAGCGAGAGCGAGAGAGAGAGAGAGAGAGAGGAGAGCAACAATTACTGGCGTATAAATTCGCCAGCCAAGTGGCCGTGGCCATTGCAATGGAATTTATGAAAATGATGTGATTTGCGAATCGCGCAATCAGCGCCACGGCTACAAACATCGTCCTCGCAGCGCCTCATCAAGCGGCAAGCGAGTGCGCAAATTGTTATTTATCACAAGATGCTCTATAAATATTCCTGCCAGCAGCACACACACACACACACGCACACAGCTATTTGCAGTCATCTAATCAATTTTCGAATGTCTAAATCAATGATTAAGAATGTCGTCGATGTTGAAATGCCAAGAGATCAGTTTTAGTCTGTCCATAAGTCCACGCTGTCTCTCTCTCTCTCTCTCTCTCTCTCTCTCTTTCGATCTTGCTGCCTGTTTGTTCCTTTGTCCGCTCGCGCTTATTGACAACAATTCGATGCGGCTGCGACGACAGGAAACATCTTGTAAAACTAGCAAAAGCAACATGTTGTGAACATGAAAGGGCTTGTGGCCTCTGCAGACGAAGGAGTGCGAGGGGCAGGAGCAGCAGCAGGAGCAGGAGCAGGAGCAGGAGAGGAGAGAGCAGCAGTTAGAGCTCGCGAAGTCAAGACACCATGCCAGATTGGCGGCTTATCGAGCCAACAATGAGAGCAGCTACAACATTATAATGGACAGGCCAAAACCAGGCGACGCCACACACGCGCCTGCCCTGCACATCCGCCTCCTGCAGCCCGCTCGCCAGCCCGCCTCCCTCTTCCTCACATCATGACCATCCATTTCGACACGCTGCGCACCAGCCCCGATAAATAAAAGCGACCACAGCCCAACTTCAACTCCAACTCCAGCCCCAGCCTCAGCCTCAGCCCCAGACGTTCCGTTCCGTTCCGAGGCGAGCCGAGCCGAGCTGAGGCGACAATGAAACGTCTATTTACCCACATATCCAGCAGGCAACACGACCGAGGGCCGATCGAGAGGGCCGGAATAATGTACACACGAATGTGTTGCAATTGTCACGCCAAGTGAAGTTACAAATTTATGAATGCCAAAAAGGCTGTCTCACTCTGTCTGGCTGAATGGCTGGATGGCCGGCCCGATCCCAATCCAGATCCCGATCCCCTTCCTGTGCCCTTACGCGATCCACAGACGACATCGCGTCTTGACTTGGCACGCGGCAACACACAAAAACCCATAAATATGTTAAGAGTCAGAGTCAGAGTCAAAGTCAGAGTCAGAGTCAAAAGTGTTGCGGATTCTGCATGGCGGACATAACCCAACTTTCTCATTAAGCCAAAAGAGTTCGACGAGGTCAAACATGCGACTTCGACTGAAAATAAAATGCTGCGGAATGTGAGTGAGTGATGCAATACTCAATAAACTAATTATATATATATATATATATATATATATATATATATATATATATATATGGATGAGTATAGATGCAGATTATTGAATAGAATGAGTTATATTATGAACATGTCTGGGATCTAAAATTAGTTCAAGCTAGAATTTATTTATTATTTTTTGTATTATTTCTTTTTTACTTCTTTATTGCTGCTTGCTGTCCTTAATTCTATAGCTCAGGGTTAAATATACTTTAGCTATGAAAACCAGTTAATTAGGCAGAAAATTAGCTTTGGAGTCATTAGAAACCCACTAAAATTATATCTATATATTTAAAACAAAGTCGTGATATGTGTTACACCACTTATAACTCGAGATCTGCTGGACCAATTTTCATGGTTTTAGATTTGTTGGATTTGTCTCTGCCCCGGTTAGAAGAGTATATCTTCAAAAATACTAAAAAAATTGACGAATACCTGAAAAACGCGTTATTTTCCCTAAAGGTTCTTTAATTTCGGAGCTGTCAAATTTTCATTGAGAATTTACCCAGTAGGCTTGATAACAATGACAGTTTTAGCTCCTGCTCTCATGTTAAACAATTATTCATGCACATTTGATCAAACATGAATGAGTAACACGACATTCTTTGACTCTTAGGCGGTACAAAGTTCGCCGGGTCACCTAGAATTGATATAATAAAACAAAAAAAATATACCTTGATTTCCCATTTACAATAGATTCAGGGTATTCCCAATATAATATTATAAATATTGTACAATTATTAATAATAACTTATTATTATTATTATTATTATTTTTTTTTTAATTGTTTGCCTCATTAAATTTCTTCCAAGCTTTTTTTCACCTATATGTTTATCAGAGATGTATGCTTCCATTTTTCGAATCAATCAAGTAGTTTTCGAGTCTTTTTATTAAAAACAATCCATATAATACTGAAAATAATAATTTCACCCGCAATCCAAGTTTCAAATTGTATTTTGAATAGAATAGGGCATTCGCCTCAGATGGTCGGATATACTTGGCTAAGGCACATTAAATAATATCATAGTTTTTTTATGGCAGTGCACATAATACAGACCACCTTAAGAGGCCTCAATTTGATAATAAAGTTTTGTGAGGAGCGGCACTGAAATCAATGCCCGCATAATTTCCAGAGCACCCACAAATCATTGGCCGAGGAGCTCGCTTGAATTTGAATAGAGGCAACGATGTTCTGGCCAAGGCCTAGCTAGTGCCAAGCGCTTGCCAAGCTAATAGCCAATTTAAATGAGACGCGGACGAGCAGAGCCAGAGCCAAAGCCGAGTCGCAATTGTAATTAAATCGGCAGACAACTCTCAGCTGCGAGGCGGCGGACGAGGAGGATCGCAGCTACAGCCGGTTCCGGATCGATATGGAATGCTGCTGCTCCTCATCATCATCGATATATATGTATGTATAAATCGCTGGGTTGGCGCATTTCCAATGATTTATTGAATTTAAATCACTTGTATTGGCAACAGTCCCGCTGTGAATTTGTGACATTTTCGTAAACGAAAAATGTCAGTTACGATTTTTTATTAGCCCCAGCGCTGCCCAGCGTCGAGCCGAGCCGCGTCGAGTCGAGCCGTCGCTGATGAAGTTCACGTTGCAGCTGAGTAGCTGTGGCTAGGGCTAGGATCTGCCGAAAGGTCTGTTCGTTACGGTACATGGATGGGGCCGTAAAGCTGGGCAAACTACTGTAAAATATAGTTCAAACTCATTTCTAGTAATAATAAATTCCACTTTGGCCGGCCATAAAAACTCGTTCAACACATAAAACGAACGACTCTCGGGCGTTTCTCTCTTCCCCTCGCTCTCGCTAATAAAGTTATTAACTGGCATAAAAGTGCAGTTTATGCAACGTCTTTTTGGTAGACCCGAACGTCTTGTTAAAAGCCCATAAAAATTCAAAATATAACACAGAATGTTAGGCAATAAATGCATATGAATGCCCCAAAGGCAGCAGCAGCACTCGTGTAGCAGAATCCGATGACATGTTCGCTCATTAATTAGAAAGCGATCAAGCGATCAAGCGAGCGCGGCAACGAGTCATCGAGTCATCGAGTCACCGAGTCGAGTCATCCGTGCTATAGCTAGACAATCCCAGCAATTTCAGATACTAACCGTGCGACAGCTCCTAATTAGAAGAACCTCAAATGACTTCATTAGAAAACTATAACACGCTTGTTAACCGTCGTGTCTACAATGCGGGCACAGCCCCAACAAACAAGAGTCTAAACAAAAAACAAGAGAAGGGCCAGAAGCTAGCACCGGCTTAATGATCGGGTCGAGTAGAGTCGAACTGAACAATTCGGCCTTTTACACATGTCCAGGGCTTTAATTATTCTACGCCAGTCGACATGGTGTAAAGTCCATGATCCGAAATCTATTTGAGTACGGCACAGTCGTAAAGGCTTCACCTCTTTAGCCTCAAACCTTCCGTGTGACACTCGAGAGGCTGATCTATGGCCTTTGAGTGGCTTGGCTTCGCCTTGCCTTGCCCCGGCCTGGTTCGGCCTGGCACTCATAAATCTGCAAATCAAACATATTTATATGACAAGCAAATCACTTAGCTCCGGCTGAGGCGATCTAGGCGTATATTAAACCAACACCTTCTTCGTCTTCTCCTCGGCCTCTTCCTCTTCTGCTGCATCGCGGCAAATTGAATTCAATTGGCGTCACGATTTTACGAAAATCAATTTTTACGATCAATCTCACTTGTGAGCCTTGGCGTGCCTCGAAATTGCCAAATTAGCTCGCTAAAATTGCCAGAGCCATGACTTTTTCATTTTTCAGTTTTTCAGCTTTTCATTTTTTCTAATATGCGAGCAATTTAGCTTCGTCGTTCGATGGAATATTGTCTGAGCAGGCCAAAAAGCTGGGCTAAGAAATTAAGGCAAGCATTTACATGTTTACCGATCAGATTTTATCGCATTTTCGATCTTATCGCTGCGTCGGCATCTCGTCGGCTCATCTACTGGCGACAAAGTGAAAAATCTCCAAAAATATTCAAATCATATAGGGGAGAGAGAGAGAGAGAGTGAGTGAGGGAGGGAGAGGAAGAGGGAGAGACTAAGACAATGCAAAGTGGCATAGGAATGCTTAATTAATTGCGGACTTCTCTTGTTGGCAAGCTGAGAAACTGAAAAACTTATAGCCCTAATGACTTGCTTTGACACTTTGGCTTTGTCTTAACATGCCCGACGAAAAGCCAAAAGCCAAAAGCGAAAAACGAAAAACAAAATCAAAAGAAGCTAGCCTATGGACTCAGACTACAACAACAACAAACATACTCTCCGGGGCAGAAGACCCATAAATTCAACGGCAATTATGTCAGTTTATTTGGAGCAAAGCGTCTGTTATTTATGTAAACAGCGAAGACAACCAGCTAAACTCAGAGCTGGAAAACGGAAAATGGGCGGCGACGGGGCAGTTCACAATTAGATGCTGATTTCTGTACATAAACAGCAGGTGACAACAAAATGCTGTTCGAGCCATTTCCCTCCGACATCTAGCGATAATGCATATTTTATAAAGCGATAAAGCCCCCACTTAATGAGCATATATGTATGCATATACATGTATAGGCATATGTTAAATGGTAGGACTAGAGCTGATCCGAAATACAAGTTCCACATATTTCATTGCATTTCAGCTGACTTGAAACGGCCGAATATCAGCAAACCAAAGCACACATACTTATTAGCGCCACCTATTGGCGAATAGCGACATCTAAATTATTTCTATTGCTACACACATTATTCATATTGTAATGCAAAAGTAATAACTTCAGTGCAAGCTATCTATAAATATATAAATATCATACAGGCTCACTAAATGAAAGGAGTATTTCGGCTTGGGCAATGTCGATGTCATTTGGTACTCAGTACTCATTAATACCCTTCCCCTATGCGCTGCAAATCTGAATACATGCCCCAGCAGACAATATATACTTTATAAATAAATAATATATTTATATTACATGGTAAAAAATTGATTGTTAGTAATTTATTCATTTGACTTTTGGTTATTTATAATTTGTAAGCCTAAGACAGTGTAAAGATAGTATAAGAAGAGCAACAAACATCACTAATGCTATTGATAGATAGCCTAGACAAAGGTAATTAGTTCAGAGTACAAGCATAAAGAACTCGGATAGATCTAAGTTGGGTTAAGTAAAGTAACTCTAGGTGTAATCGATGGAGATGGATGTGCATCCCCTATTGCAGTTGATGTGGATGCTTATAATTAAAGCTGATAGAGTTGCAAATCATCCCCAGAGCACATTCCAGAGCTCCCACTCGACTACCAGAATCTCGAGTATTCCCCCTCTTGGTATCGTTGATATCGTTTTAATTGCACTATAAGTGCCTGGCTGTGGGCAGCTACAGCATATCTTGGGCATTAACTGAAATGGGGGAAGCTTGGCATTTCGCATAGGGCCCATCCAGGAGCATGGCGCTTACCACCCAGGCATTTGTCATCGCTGGCGCCAAGTGGATGCCACCAATATCAGGGCCGCAGTGCGACAAGTGCCACAACTGGGTGACTTATTTGCAATCTAATTAAGTTGTTTTAATGACATGTGACGCATGCTCAACAACTCAAGCACTTGCAACGATTAAAGTGGATTTCTCAAATTGCTGCAACAGCTACTGAGGCACGCTTAGTTCCGTCTCCTTGTCTTAAACTATCGCCTTAATCTGTTGGTTTCTTACCCTTTATCTTTAAATTTGATGAGCTCTGCTCTGTAATGGGAAATTAGGCATCGAGAAATGCAGAAATAGTATTTTTAAAATACCTGCCGATACATCGTATACCTATAAGTTGATATTATGCATTTCATATTTTTAGTCAGACACGATAATGTAACAGAGTTCTTTTAGATACATCTCCAGGAGCTGACTTCGAATGGTGCTAGTCTCACCTACGTCGTATCTCTTCTTCTTGTTTGTGTACCGGCGGCTTTTTATATTTAGCACAGCCTTTCTTCAGTGTGTTCAGGGCCTATCACAAAAACAGTTACGATATATTAAGACGAAGTGCAGAAAAGAGGTCTCAAAAGTGGATGAGAGAGAGAGAGAGAGAGAAAGAGAGAGAGCAACAGAGAAAGAGACTCTACATGGTTGCTGAACATAGTTTCAAGAAAAACAGAGAGAGAAGTAGAGTAGGAGGGAGAGGGAAAACTAGACGGATAGAGAGATACAGAGACAAAGAGAGAAGGAGAGAAAGAAGCAGAGAGAGGTAGATAGAGGGAGAGAGATATATGGCCAATTTAGCCCATGATCATTATGATCTTTAGTGGACGAAGAGAAGATCTATAAATCGTCTTTCTAGGAAGACACATTGTAAAAGAAACATCGGGAATTCGTTATAGGACGCAGTTGTAAACGTATAAAATAAAACTGGAATTCAAGGCGGCCAAATTTACCAAAAACTCCATAGAAAATACATAAATAAGGATAAGTTCATTAAACACGCAATAAGTACATAAATATTTCTTGCAATTAGCTTCTATTTCCATTTCGATTGCACTTACATTTGTAAATATATCCCAAAGGAGATAATAGAGTATTCTTGATAAATACAAAAAATTATAATAAAAAAAAAAAAAAAATTTTTTTTAAAAGTTTCATTTTGACTTCAATATTAAAAGTTATAGAACTTTAAGAATTCAATCTAAATGATTGAGTCTTGCTTCAAGGTCCTTTAGCTTTCACCCCTTTGGCTTTGTGGTATCCTCATCCCTTCAACTGCAACTCAGCTCAATTCCCCTTTTATTTTTTTCGGACTTTTATGTCTGATCGAATCCTTTAGCTTTTAGTCTGATTTTTCCAGGTTGCTGTGTCTTTTCTTTTTTAGTAATATAACTAGCAGGTTTTTGTTGGTGCTTGTCCAGCGACAAGCGGCGTCCTTCACACTTGAGCGTCATAAATTATCGTAGTAATGAGTTGCAACAGGCGCCGCCGCTGCCGTCGGCCCATTGCCACATTCGAATTGCATTTAAAATACATTTAAAAAACGGGCGCGCCATTTATCATGTTGGTTTATTTATTGCGTCTAGCTGGCGGATTGCTACCGATCTGCCCAAGCGATCCACCTCTATAGCTGCTGCCTCGATGAATAATTGCCCCCATCTACGCGGAATGTTATCAGCGCCATAATTAAATAACGCCAGGAGGTGCAACAAGGCAACACTGCGAGGCTCTAAAATATCAGAAATATACATAAGTATATATGTATATCTCCCTGACTCTCCCTCTCTCCCTGCCTCTCTCTTTGCCTTTTCAATTTCAGCTGTGATCGGCGATCATGTAAGTTTAATTGCCATGATCGGGCAACTTTCTCAGGCTGAGTTTTCGAGAGTCATTGCGCATATTCATATTCACCTCCGTGAGCCGAGTGAGTCAAAACAAAAATCAATTAAATTGCCGCAACAATCGATCAATTGAATCTTGAGAACCGGCGATCACCGATGTGCCTACCTCTGATCAATTGACCATCTTCCAATGGAACGCAGCAATTCCAATTAAACGTCACGCTAAATGAAGCGTAAAATTGCCCGCCTGCTGCTGGTCTTGAGTGCGGTTTACAGGCAGGCAGAGCTGTAACTGAGACAGGGATAGAGATAGAGACAGAGAGAGAGAGAGAGAGAGAGAGAGAGAGACGGCTGGCTGGCTAGCCGGCTGGTGGAATGTGCGATCGCCTTTCTGCCGATCTTTGGTACAGACTCAGGCCCAAATGTGACAGCGTAATAAAAAATCAATTTCACAATAAATATATCGCGACTGCAAAGAAGAAGAGGCAAAGGAACAAAACCTGTATATCTTATCACAGCCGGGCATCGGAGAGCTTGAAGTGGTACTTACGCATCGCAGCAGAAGAGTTCTGAAGATCTGTTAGGGGCTCAGGCAACAGCAGACGCACAGGCAGCCAGACGGACGAGCGGACGAACGGACGGCGAGCTGGCCGGAAAGGCAGTCAGCCAAATGTGAAAAGTGTGGTAGCCCAACTGTCAGCGATTGATGTAGCAGCCCTTTATCATTATCACATCTGGAGCTGAAGAGCAGGTACACAGAGCCTCGCGACTCGTGGCGCAGGATAAATGCCTAAGCAGCCCGTCACAGCGTCACAGAGTCTGCCAGCGAGAGGATCACAAAAACAGAGAACAGAAACACAAACAATCCCTCTAAGCCCCTCCCTCCCCCCTCCCTCCACCTTGACCAAGCCATGTCGTTTGGCAGTTATCTTAAAAACCTTGTTGTCGTCTTAATTATTGCGTTAATGAGTTTTCAGTTTACTTTTCCTTTTTCTGTTTTTCTGCTCAGTTAACCCGTTTACAACAGCATTTCGTGCTATTATCAATCAATCGAAGACGATCGCAGATCGAACGAAAGGAAAGACTTGCCAACGTCTTGCCGGGTATCGGAATCTGCAACCTGATCATATGCAACGATAAGCATCCAGCCTGCCATCCAGCCAGCAGCCAGCCGAGCAGCTACAATATATTTGTATAATAAATAGTGTGAGCGCTATCGCCTGCACAGATATTTATGAAGAGACATCGATAAGAGATCTTATTCTGCATGCCGCGTACCTTTTCTTTTGACTGCCAGCCGTAAACACCGACAGGATATTATGTACATACATACTTATATACAGACCTATATATATGTACATACCCATATATCAGAGTGAAAGAAACTGATTTATAGTCCACTTGTGTGGGGGTCACAGGTGAATCGGCGCGGCGAGTGATTTACCATGTGAACCAGCAGCCCAGGCTGATGCCATTTTAATTAGCATGTTAAGTTATTGGCCAGAGAATACAGCACAATGCACAATGCAGTTCAATAAACAAATTAGCTGGGTGTGTGCTGTCCGAGTCTGTGCGGAGGTTCCAGTTCCAGCTCATTGCCCAGCGATCTCGAACCGAATTGATTAATTGTGGGAGCGCAGTGTTCCCACTGTGAGAATAGGGCTTTGTCGAGAGAAAGAGAAATAGGGTCTGCCATTCCGCCTTGGCAGGGATCTTCTAGCCCTTCTAGCCGTCCAGCTCTCACTCAGTGAGGCGTGTAGTGCGGCTTGTAGGAGTGAAGAATTAATGATTTGTTGATTTATGAATTGACTCAAAGTTCAAGTCAAGTGTACAATGATGAGTGGAGCGCAGCTCGATGGCCCAACGCGACGGCCTGTGCGGTCCCCAGAGATCGCCGATAGCCCTCTCTGTGTGTGCGTGAGTGTGAGTGTATTGAACGCGTTCTGAACGAGGTTGTTGATGGCCGATAAGGGGCAGATGAGCAGGAATATTGGGCAAAAATACTACTCCCATAAGATGTGGCTAAAGCCATTAGGATGCTAACGAAGAATTGGCTGAGGTCTGCCATTAAAGAAATAGTGTATACAAATTGATTCTATATAAATATTAATTATAATTATAATTAAAGGTAATTTAAATAAATCAGAAAATTAATTGACAAACAAATAAAAAAATAAATATTAAATATCGTAAATAGAAATATTAAATATGTATTAATAATCAACAATAAATCCAGAGCAACAACAAAAAATAATTAAATGAATTTAAAGAATATATAGTTAAAACAAAAAAATAAGAGTATGGGATAATTACTACTAATTTTCTACTCAGAAAATATATGGGCTCATATAATATCTCTATTCTGTATTAAATATAACTGACAAGGAAATTAAGAAATAATAATTGGTATATTACCTGACTTCTTCCTATTTAATTACCAATAGGTACCAAATTTACTAATTTTAAACATTATTAATGGAGAATATTTAAATGAAAGAAAAGACCTTAACATAACTAAGTGATTAAATCAGATCGTTGCATGGGTATATATTGATTCCTGACATATGGATGAAATTTTGGAATAGTCGAGTTGAGCTGGTAATTTAGTAACCTCCAAATCCAAAGTAGGCTGGACAAAGTAGGTCAATCGAAGGATAATGCTAAAGATTATAGATTTAATTTCAAGATTGAAGTTCCCTTAACCACTTTGTACCTGGTTAAAACGTCATTTGGCTAAGTCTGACTGGCTCACCGTAAAACTTTAATGGTGGAAATATGGCTTAAATATTAGGCGCCAGTTTCTATTAATCAATGAGTAAAGAGTGGGAGCCACAGTCTTTAGTTTTCGGTTTGCATTATTTGAAAGGTTCTTAAGCCTTCGTCTCATGTCCAATGCAGCAGATCTTGACATTTGCTTTCCACTTTATGTTTTCATTGTCTAATCTGAAATCGGCTATAGGGATTTCAATGATTAATAAGAAAAGTAATGTGTTTTCTAGTTCTGAAATATTAGGTAATCGACTATAGACTAAGAAAATAAATGAACTGCAGCTATAAATATTCTTTGAAGCTAAAACAGAGTTCGATTCGACAGAAGACCAATTTTTGTACAATTAAGACGCTCTATATTCTATTCAAGCCAAGCATTTAGAAGCAGATAAACTAAGCAACAGAACAGTTTTAAAAAACATTCGAATGATCCAGAAGTGTTGCTTTTAAGAACTCTGAAGCTTTATCTCAGCTTTTAGTTGCTACCAAAAAAAAAAGACTATTTGCAATAAAATCTATTAAAATAAATTCTATATCATCATCTGGCTAACAATAGAGCGGCAGCAGTTTGTGAGACATCAAGTGCCCGGCTGCACCGTTTTACGACTGTGGAACATTTGTGATGGGTGCAGCCACGAGAAGGCTACCAGAAGACACTGCCTGCTGCCTGCTGCCGGCTGCCGCAGGTTGCATTCTTATGCTAATCGCCTGGCCGACAATGGAGGAGACTAAGAGATCATAAAAGCCGGGCCTAGGCAGCAGTTAGCTGAAGCTGGAAGCATTTGGTAGCCGAATGGAAGTCGCTCCACATTTTGTTACGCATCATCAACGGCTCCGAACGGAAGGTTGGGTCAGGCCAGAGCAGGCCTGCGCATTTGGCTTGTAGCGATAGTTAGTCGAGTATTGTTTGGTCAATTTACGGGCCGTGAAGAGAGCTGACAACAAAGGTGATCTTAAGTACAAGCATTAAAGTAGCAGAATAAATATAATTAAGTGTATGTAAATTTGCTTTTATCTAGGAGAAGTTATTTGTTCTTGCCTTTGTGGCCGAAACAGCGGCCAAACAGGCAGTGGACAAACAGCCCGAACATAATTGCAACAACTTAAGAACTTAAGAAATCACAACAAATAAGCAACAAACAGCTCAAAACTCAAATTGAGATTCTCCGAGATTCAAAACTCACGCTGCATTCAAATTGATTACAAAACACCGAGCCACAGAGTCCTGTCCGCCGTCGGAGTCATCATCGGCGTCGTCGTCGTCGTCTTCGTCTTCGTCTTCTGCTAAACATGACTTGGCAAAAGTTGAGCCAAGTTTGTTTGGCAGCCGCTTGTTTTTATTGTTTAGCTCGTTATCAAGTCAAAATAATCAGGCGCAGCGCGCTAACAATTGTCATTGTTAAAGGCGAGCTATACAGGAGCCGAGTAGCAGCAGCAGCAGAAGCAGCAGCAACAGCAGCCACTGGCACTGGCACTGGCTCTGGCTCTGGCACAGACCCATCCCGAGAGCGAGACGTCGAGAGCGACATCCCAAAATGTGCCCCATCATTGCCAGTGGCCATAAAAGTGAAGCTCCTCATCATCACCAACAGCTAAAAACAGCAACAACAACAACAGCAACAACAACAGTAGCAACAACAGCAGCAGCAGCCGCCCTGAACAATGCAACATGATTCGCGAATTATAAACACACGCGCTGAGTAGATCAGCCAAAATGTGGCAAAAGCCCAAAATACTCTATAACCATAAAACATTCAATATATATATAGACTAACAATCACAATGACATTATAATTAACTATTTTAAATATATATTTAATAATTATAGATTGCATTCTTTCGAATTGCCAAAGCTTTTGTTAGATCGATGAGTAATTTATAATTATTTATAATTGCATTTTAAATAGCCTTAAATTTGTTTTAAATTTCAATTTAAATTTTATGCTTTTCATTATATTCAAATATTTATTAATAAAGGGAAAAACCTAAAAATGAAACAAACGAAATTTATGAATGTAAATGAAGCAACATCCAAGGATAGGTGGCCAATTTGGGAAGCATTGAATTAATATTAATTATAGCTATAATATCTTGATCACTCTCTATTCTCATTCTATTTTAAATTTAATATTATATTGAGTATCGAATTACTTGTAAATATAATAATATGATAATAATAAATATAATAATATTATTATATAGACAATTAAAGTAAGGTGAGCATCAAAACAAATTGATATTTATGTTATTAATACAATATATTATTATTTTAGGTACTTTATTAGCTCGTGCCTAATAATTAGTTTTAGTTCGGTATTAATTATTTAATAATACATATGTATTATTAGTTTATTAATATGTAAGCAAGTTTGGATTGGATTATTTGATTTTAAATATATATTCAACAAAAATCAAATATATTTCTCAGACCCTAAGCAAAGTTCATCTCATAGTTAAAATACCCTCAACTATAGGAAGCGCCAAATGCATTTTCGTAAATTTCTGGAGCAATATAATCGCAGGCAGCAGACTTTAAAATTAAGCAGCAGTCGTCACCTCTTACGGCCCTCAGCGGTAATTGTGGCAAGTGGTTGCAGTTGCAGTTGCAGTTGCAACAGTTGCAGCAGCCTCTTGTGACTGCAGCAGCAGCAGCAGCAGCGCAGGCAGCAGCAGTAGTTGCTACTGCACAAGCTAACAAACAGCTTTGCACAGAAGCCAAAACGTGTCGTCCTTTTGAGCCACTTGAGAGACTGAAAGACTGCCTCCACACGAGCAGGCAGGCAGGCAGGCAAGGCAGGCCTGGCAGGCAGTCCAAGAGTCAGCTCGAGTCGAGGTCTCATCGTCAGCGTGGACATGGTCTTCAGTACGTGGCAACGGCATCGTTTTTAATTAAACAATGTAAGCGAAAGCAACAAGCAGCAGAAGGAGAAGAAGCAGCAGCAGTAGCTTGCAACCATACGGAGTGAAGTGCCGTCCCCTGGCTGCCCCTTGCCCCCTCTCAGCGCTGAGCCCTGAGCCCTAGTCAAGTTCAACTTGGAGCCTTGTTTGTGAATTATGAGTTGCGCAATCACGACTTCTTGTCTTGCTGCTTACTCGACACAAATCGAGGATGGGCGGGAGCCGCAGGAGGACAAGAGGAGCTCTGCTGGAGGAGTGTCGTTAGCTGTGCGCAGTTCGCACTTCGGTCTGATTAAGTTTTAGAACAAATGAATTTAAAACGTGCGCTGCCGCGCAGCTGCGGCTGCTGCGATCATGTCTGGCCGAAGGTGTAAAAATTATTCGGCGAGTGCGCAATTTACCTGCCCAACAAGATCGTCGAGAATCATCAGGCAGGCAGCAGCCACCAGGCAGCCTTTTTATGGCCATTGGAATTACCGAAAATGTCGTCCAAAAACTGCAGCTGGCTGGAAAGTTCTCTCCGGCGTGAGGCTTACCTGAGCGGCTCTTGGAAAGCTTCATGCTTGTGCGTCACGG